AACGCTTTAATTTCTTCCAATATGATTCGAAATTCAACGATACTCACTCATTTTTGTTGTTTAGATCCAAAATGTAGGTCTATAATCTAAATCTCTGTTCATTTTCATACTTTTAACGTGTTTGGATGATGGTTAATATGTGAAGGTGGTTTTAAAAATCTAGCTTAAAATCGGAAAAGTCTGTGATTACTTTATGTTCCACAGGTGGAACGATGCTGCAACGTATGATGCCAGAAGCAGAACAGGAGGCCCCAATGGTTCTATTAGATTCATCACTAAACACGAAGCAATCAAGGAACTGCAAAAAGCAGTTCAATACTGTGGTAAAATTAATTTTTTCTTATTTCCTTAGTTTTATTTAAGATTAAATATATTGATAATCCCTTAACTGATATAGAATTGAAATTTGTTATGATTTCAAGATGTAATATAATTTGATCAAAATTTTAAAAATAAATAAATAATGTAATTTTACATGAAAATATTTGAGATGTTAAATGATGTTTATTGGTTCAAACTAATTTGACACATTCTGCTTAAATAATACTTAAAAAAAATAATGCACATTGAATTAAAAAAAAACTATATTTATTTATTTTTTAAGTTTTGACACTAAAATGTATCTAAATTTAGAACAAAGATAAATTTTAATTTTGCATCTATATTTATGGACTAAAACTTTATTTAACATTTTTATTTGTATCGACATTCTTTTAGTTTTTATTTTATTTAAATTTGTTAATTTCTTCCCCCAAACAGATATAGTGAAGCACAGACTTAAACTTAAGAAGGTTTCATACGCAGACCTTTACCAGGTTATTTGTTTTCAATCTGCAACTATTTATGATGATAAAAAAAAAATAATTATACTAGAGTAGATTCAATCACCTTAAGTTTATTATATTAACTTGTATAATTGGATGAATTTGCGTTTCAGCTTGCTGGTGTTGTTGCAATAGAGGTTACACAGGGTCCAATTATTGACTTTGTTCCTGGCAGAAAGGTATACTCATGTGTGTGTGTGTCTATATATACAAAGTTTTGGTTCATAAAAAAGTTTAGATATAAGACACTCTTGAAAAGTATAGCATGTTACCGGGGTATTTAGTAAAATAGATTGATTGAGCATAATGAAAACTGATGTCTTTCAAATTCAACACTTAAAAAGGTGTGAGTAGTTAACAGTGAATGAACACTTTATAGCAAGACAATTGAATATTTGATTTTTTTTTCTTTAATCACATTTAATGAGGGTGACATTATTTTCTTATTATATATATCACACATTTGAGGATTTCGTTGAGGTCTCTTGACCTTTGATTTATCATTGAAATATATGAATGTCATTCATTGTATTATTTGTTTGATTTGAAAGTTCTTAATAATTCTTTGTTAGGATTCAAATGAATCTCCACGAGTCCAAGCACACTTTCTAAATGGTGAAGAAGGTAATGTTGGTTGTTAAGTCTCTAATTTTTGCAACCGTTTATTAATGTATATCCCTTTGGGTTGTCTTCCCAGTTAAAGTTGAAATTAGATTTTGTTAACAATGATTAAAAAAACTTTATAAAATTAAAAATGCATGTATCACTTTTTGTATTTTAATATATAATGAAATTTTCTCAATAACTTTTTTATTTTTACATCTTTAATCAATAACCAATGGTTAAAAAGTCAATTTAGTTTTCTCGTGCTAACTAGTTATAGTTTATCGTTCCACCACCTGAAACTTTGTTTAAATACTAGTTATGTTTATGTATACAAAAAGGTGAACAACCGCAATAGACTGTGAATTATGTGATTCTAGAATTTACTTAATTTTTCTAATATAAAGTTTAACAATCTTTTGTAGAAATTGTTGTTCATGTGTCCTATATGAGATTTTGACCTTCATTTCCGAAGTAATCAACTTTTTCATAGAAATCGTTGATATATAATTTGCCCGTACATGCCTGCTAATTGTTTGATTTTATCCTTCTGACCACCTCTAATCTGGATCTAGCTATTAAAACATTTTAAAAACATAGTTTTCTTTACAATAATTGCTTATTCTTATTCTGTTGATGGTATGCAACGTATCTGTAATCTTGGCTCGCCATTATTATGAAAATTCTTTTTTATATGGAAAATTTTCAGATGCAAGGAGTTTAAGGAGAAAATTTTCTCGCATGGGACTAAGTGAAGACGAAGACATAGTAGTTCTATGTGGAGGCCACGCTTTGATAAGAGCTATGCATCCAAAAGTAGCAACGGTAAGCACGATATACTCATAATCATTAGAAAAACTGAGTGATATGTCCAGGAGTCGCTACTTATATGCATAACTTCATTTTATTCACTTCAACTGACAAGAGAGAGACACCTAAGGGTGAGACGCATGAAGATCGCAGCAAGTTCGAAGAAAGAAAATGGACAAAGGAACCTTTGAAGTTTGATAACTCCTATTTTAAGTAAGATATTTATTTACACGATGATAATTATTTGTCCATTTAAAAGTATACAATTGAAATTCCACGCAACACTTAACTATATTCTTTGAATGGGGGAAGCAGGGAACTACTGAGTAAGGGTGCATCCTTTTCGAGGCTTCCCATGGACTCTGCTTTAGTAGAGGATCAAAGATTTTATCACTATGTTGAACGGTATGCTAAGGTAACTAACTATCAAAGGCTTCCTTTTTTATCAAATACATTTTTTCCATTTGAGACAAATAGAAATTTAACGCAGTTACAAATTATACACTGGGGCAGTTAGTAAATTACATTTATCAGATAAAATCGAATAGTTCAAATTTCAATATCAGAAAATCAAATTTAAATCTTGAAACGAATGCTGAGTTTTATTCAGTGATCACGATGTCATAACCGCATCAACTGTGCTAACTTTTTATTATATTGATATCTCGATCTATATTTTAATTTTAACAGGATGAGGATATCTTTTTTAAAGAATATGCAATTTCACATAAGAAACTCTCAGAGCTGGGCTTCGATCCCCAAAATCTAAACATGTCCAAGGGACTATATCAGAAGCTAAATCAGCACAGGGGACTCGTAGGAATCGGTATAATATCAGTTGCGGTGGCCGGAATATTAGGTTACTTACATAAGAAGAAGAAAAATCAATTGAAAGATTGATCCAAAATTGGAGTTTGAGCTTGTTATCATCAACATCTTCTTCTAAAAAATGCTTACAATTTGTGAACTTCAAAAGTCACCAAATATCTCTCGAATATAATGTACATTCTATTTAACTCATCCTGGTTTACTACTACCAGGTTCTTTCATCCACCAAGCAGCTTTGGTAGCTTGGAGAAGATTGGTTTAATTTTTCTGGTCAATAGTAGTAGCCCATAGTTCAATAATCAGTGGAAAAGAACAATGTAGAAACCAGAGGAATTTATTACTGAGGCTTAGCTGACTGAACGAAAACAAATTTCAATGAGACATCAAAGATGGCTCAGTTTTCTGGTAAGTGTACTGATACGTTCTTATTGTAATACTAATAATTTTGTCTACTTTAATGTACATGGAGTACTATAATCAACCAAGTACTCTTACCACAAAACTGGTGAACGTAAAGCTGAACATCAAAGATTTCCGCACCTCAAGAGCACTACAGAACATTGATCTAATCTCTCAAGATAAATATGAAATACAACTTTATAGTCAATTTTATCTTAGTATAATATGTGAATGATCAACGTCCTACCAACCACATCCTGATCCTGCCCATATTACCCACCTTCACTCTTCCCTTCCCAGGTTAACCATAGCACAATGCCAATTTGTCAGAACAAACCATTTTATGAGTACCATCAAACTGAAGGGGTCTGGCAAGAAATATAAAAAAGAATGTTATAAGAGGACACTGATCAGAAAAGTTATAGAAATTAGTTCACATCCTCCAAACAAAACACAAAGAAAACTTTATCAAGTTTGAAGGAACTGTTATGTTTTTTCTCTCCATAGCAGAGAATTTTACTTCCAGTCCCTCAGCCTAGGAGGAGCAGAACTTAGTGACAGATTCTTTTGTAATTACAATGGTTGTTGTAGAATATAATTATAATAATTAATAGACAATTTAATTTCAGACTCCATAGATTAGATTCTTAAGCTCTTAAAGTTGCCTCTACCCTTTTATTCTTAAATGAAATGCCATGAATTCTATATTTACATATAGAGTGGTTTTTCCCTACTTTGTAATCATCATATCAGAAATAAACTTACGTTCCAGTTTTCTTCTTTCAAATCTCTCTATTTTCTAGTTAGTATAGTGTATCCAAAATCTATATTATTAGGTCACCTGAAACAGCACACTCTAGACTATAACCGTAGACGTGAAGATAATGATTGTTGAAAAGCAAGTTTGATTCATTTTCTAATCAAACCAAAAACTCATCTTTCTAAAGACCTAAACTACCTGCCACATCCAATTTGCAATGCAATCTGTAATCGAAGTATAAACCAGTGTTCTATTATGATTCTAAACACAAAATGCCAATCAAGAACGGAGATTACATATAGTAACAGCAAAAATGTACACACAAATTCAAAGAGAAGAGTACAATATTACAGAAGCTATAAGCTACGGTGGTCTGTATAACAAAGGACATAGTTTGAAATTAAGTAGAAGAGATTGTGATGGCTTTGGTCTTAAACCTATATCTTGGTGCTCGGGGGATGACTTGGCTGGGTCCCATGTGAAACTGACCGGGAGAATTGGTAAGCGGTGGACCGTCGTCGTAGATATGGCCAAGGAGAGAGGAGCAGGTGTTGCACTTGATCTTGGTTCTCTTCCTCTGAATTCCCCAGTAGTTGACGGTTTCGAAGAAGGGGCGAATCTTGTCCTCCATCTCGAACTTGAACTTGGCTTCGTCTACGGTGGAGAAAGAGACGGAGTCCTTGTTTCCGGCCTCAAAGTAGAAGTCCGGGGGGAAGGCGTAGGCGGAGTTGAGATTGAGGTTGGAGCCGCACGCCGTGCAGGTGTACTCAGAGGCCATGATCGGCAATGGTGTGAGGAGAGGTTGTTGAATGTGCCAGAAGTAGAAATACAAGGTGCTTGCGAAAAGTCCAAAGCGTGTAGTTGTGGAAAAAGGACACGATGGGACTGCTTCATTGCTAAGGTGAAATTATTTTTAATTTTTAAATCAAATTTTGCAGATCATATATGACAATATTCAATGACTTAAAATCAATTTTTCTATCTTGTTTTTATTTATAACATAAAATAAAAAACATCTTAAAACCTGTTTTTAAACTATGTAAAAAACCTTTTTCTTATAACTAACTTTAATACCTCCTATACCACACCAAAGTGAAAGAAAATTAAATAAACAAAATAAACATGTTTAACCAATGGTAGGTGGAAAGTAATAAAGAGAAGATAAATCATTCGCTTACAAAATAATTATACATTCCATCTTATATTTTATCTAAAAGGATACATAAGATGTTATATTAATTTGTATTTATTTACTAAATATACTTTTTGAAAAAAGATTGCAGAGTTGTTTAATTTTGCCAATCACATAATTGTCTGATAAACTTATACATCGANACTAATTTGACACATTCTGCTTAAATAATACTTAAAAAAAATAATGCACATTGAATTAAAAAAAAACTATATTTATTTATTTTTTAAGTTTTGACACTAAAATGTATCTAAATTTAGAACAAAGATAAATTTTAATTTTGCATCTATATTTATGGACTAAAACTTTATTTAACATTTTTATTTGTATCGACATTCTTTTAGTTTTTATTTTATTTAAATTTGTTAATTTCTTCCCCCAAACAGATATAGTGAAGCACAGACTTAAACTTAAGAAGGTTTCATACGCAGACCTTTACCAGGTTATTTGTTTTCAATCTGCAACTATTTAATGATAAAAAAAAATAATTATACTAGAGTAGATTCAATCACCTTAAGTTTATTATATTAACTTGTATAATTGGATGAATTTGCGTTTCAGCTTGCTGGTGTTGTTGCAATAGAGGTTACACAGGGTCCAATTATTGACTTTGTTCCTGGCAGAAAGGTATACTCATGTGTGTGTGTGTCTATATATACAAAGTTTTGGTTCATAAAAAAGTTTAGATATAAGACACTCTTGAAAAGTATAGCATGTTACCGGGCTATTTAGTAAAATAGATTGATTGAGCATAATGAAAACTGATGTCTTTCAAATTCAACACTTAAAAAGGTGTGAGTAGTTAACAGTGAATGAACACTTTATAGCAAGACAATTGAATATTTGATTTTTTTTTCTTTAATCACATTTAATGAGGGTGACATTATTTTCTTATTATATATATCACACATTTGAGGATTTCGTTGAGGTCTCTTGACCTTTGATTTATCATTGAAATATATGAATGTCATTCATTGTATTATTTGTTTGATTTGAAAGTTCTTAATAATTCTTTGTTAGGATTCAAATGAATCTCCACGAGTCCAAGCACACTTTCTAAATGGTGAAGAAGGTAATGTTGGTTGTTAAGTCTCTAATTTTTGCAACCGTTTATTAATGTATATCCCTTTGGGTTGTCTTCCCAGTTAAAGTTGAAATTAGATTTTGTTAACAATGATTAAAAAAACTTTATAAAATTAAAAATGCATGTATCACTTTTTGTATTTTAATATATAATGAAATTTTCTCAATAACTTTTTTATTTTTACATCTTTAATCAATAACCAATGGTTAAAAAGTCAATTTAGTTTTCTCGTGCTAACTAGTTATAGTTTATCGTTCCACCACCTGAAACTTTGTTTAAATACTAGTTATGTTTATGTATACAAAAAGGTGAACAACCGCAATAGACTGTGAATTATGTGATTATAGAATTTACTTAATTTTTCTAATATAAAGTTTAACAATCTTTTGTAGAAATTGTTGTTCATGTGTCCTATATGAGATTTTGACCTTCATTTCCGAAGTAATCAACTTTTTCATAGAAATCGTTGATATATAATTTGCCCGTACATGCCTGCTAATTGTTTGATTTTATCCTTCTGACCACCTCTAATCTGGATCTAGCTATTAAAACATTTTAAAAACATAGTTTTCTTTACAATAATTGCTTATTCTTATTCTGTTGATGGTATGCAACGTATCTGTAATCTTGGCTCGCCATTATTATGAAAATTCTTTTTTATATGGAAAATTTTCAGATGCAAGGAGTTTAAGGAGAAAATTTTCTCGCATGGGACTAAGTGAAGACGAAGACATAGTAGTTCTATGTGGAGGCCACGCTTTGATAAGAGCTATGCATCCAAAAGTAGCAACGGTAAGCACGATATACTCATAATCATTAGAAAAACTGAGTGATATGTCCAGGAGTCGCTACTTATATGCATAACTTCATTTTATTCACTTCAACTGACAAGAGAGAGACACCTAAGGGTGAGACGCATGAAGATCGCAGCAAGTTCGAAGAAAGAAAATGGACAAAGGAACCTTTGAAGTTTGATAACTCCTATTTTAAGTAAGATATTTATTTACACGATGATAATTATTTGTCCATTTAAAAGTATACAATTGAAATTCCACGCAACACTTAACTATATTCTTTGAATGGGGGAAGCAGGGAACTACTGAGTAAGGGTGCATCCTTTTCGAGGCTTCCCATGGACTCTGCTTTAGTAGAGGATCAAAGATTTTATCACTATGTTGAACGGTATGCTAAGGTAACTAACTATCAAAGGCTTCCTTTTTTATCAAATACATTTTTTCCATTTGAGACAAATAGAAATTTAACGCAGTTACAAATTATACACTGGGGCAGTTAGTAAATTACATTTATCAGATAAAATCGAATAGTTCAAATTTCAATATCAGAAAATCAAATTTAAATCTTGAAACGAATGCTGAGTTTTATTCAGTGATCACGATGTCATAACCGCATCAACTGTGCTAACTTTTTATTATATTGATATCTCGATCTATATTTTAATTTTAACAGGATGAGGATATCTTTTTTAAAGAATATGCAATTTCACATAAGAAACTCTCAGAGCTGGGCTTCGATCCCCAAAATCTAAACATGTCCAAGGGACTATATCAGAAGCTAAATCAGCACAGGGGACTCGTAGGAATCGGTATAATATCAGTTGCGGTGGCCGGAATATTAGGTTACTTACATAAAAAGAAGAAAAATCAATTGAAAGATTGATCCAAAATTGGAGTTTGAGCTTGTTATCATCAACATCTTCTTCTAAAAAATGCTTACAATTTGTGAACTTCAAAAGTCACCAAATATCTCTCGAATATAATGTACATTCTATTTAACTCATCCTGGTTTACTACTACCAGGTTCTTTCATCCACCAAGCAGCTTTGGTAGCTTGGAGAAGATTGGTTTAATTTTTCTGGTCAATAGTAGTAGCCCATAGTTCAATAATCAGTGGAAAAGAACAATGTAGAAACCAGAGGAATTTATTACTGAGGCTTAGCTGACTGAACGAAAACAAATTTCAATGAGACATCAAAGATGGCTCAGTTTTCTGGTAAGTGTACTGATACGTTCTTATTGTAATACTAATAATTTTGTCTACTTTAATGTACATGGAGTACTATAATCAACCAAGTACTCTTACCACAAAACTGGTGAACGTAAAGCTGAACATCAAAGATTTCCGCACCTCAAGAGCACTACAGAACATTGATCTAATCTCTCAAGATAAATATGAAATACAACTTTATAGTCAATTTTATCTTAGTATAATATGTGAATGATCAACGTCCTACCAACCACATCCTGATCCTGCCCATATTACCCACCTTCACTCTTCCCTTCCCAGGATAACCATAGCACAAAGCCAATTTGTCAGAACAAACCATTTTATGAGTACCATCAAACTGAAGGGGTCTGGCAAGAAATATAAAAAAGAATGTTATAAGAGAACACTGATCAGAAAAGATATAGAAATTAGTTCACATCCTCCAAACAAAACACAAAGAAAACTTTATCAAGTTTGAAGGAACTGTTATGTTTTTTCTCTCCATAGCAGAGAATTTTACTTCCAGTCCCTCAGCCTAGGAGGAGCAGAACTTAATGACAGATTCTTTTGTAATTACAATGGTTGTTGTAGAATATAATTATAATAATTAATAGACAATTTAATTTCAGACTCAATAGATTAGATTCTTAAGCTCTTAAAGTTGCCTCTACCCTTTTATTCTTAAATGAAATGCCATGAATTCTATATTTACATATAGAGTGGTTTTTCCCTACTTTGTAATCATCATATCAGAAATAAACTTACGTTCCAGTTTTCTTCTTTCAAATCTCTCTATTTTCTAGTTAGTATAGTGTATCCAAAATCTATATTATTAGGTCACCTGAAACAGCACACTCTAGACTATAACCGTAGACGTGAAGATAATGATTGTTGAAAAGCAAGTTTGATTCATTTTCTAATCAAACCAAAAACTCATCTTTCTAAAGACCTAAACTACCTGCCACATCCAATTTGCAATGCAATCTGTAATCGAAGTATAAACCAGTGTTCTATTATGATTCTAAACACAAAATGCCAATCAAGAACGGAGATTACATATAGTAACAGCAAAAATGTACACACAAATTCAAAGAGAAGAGTACAATATTACAGAAGCTATAAGCTACGGTGGTCTGTATAACAAAGGACATAGTTTGAAATTAAGTAGAAGAGATTGTGATGGCTTTGGTCTTAAACCTATATCTTGGTGCTCGGGGGATGACTTGGCTGGGTCCCATGTGAAACTGACCGGGAGAATTGGTAAGCGGTGGACCGTCGTCGTAGATATGGCCAAGGAGAGAGGAGCAGGTGTTGCACTTGATCTTGGTTCTCTTCCTCTGAATTCCCCAGTAGTTGACGGTTTCGAAGAAGGGGCGAATCTTGTCCTCCATCTCGAACTTGAACTTGGCTTCGTCTACGGTGGAGAAAGAGACGGAGTCCTTGTTTCCGGCCTCAAAGTAGAAGTCCGGGGGGAAGGCGTAGGCGGAGTTGAGATTGAGGTTGGAGCCGCACGCCGTGCAGGTGTACTCAGAGGCCATGATCGGCAATGGTGTGAGGAGAGGATGTTGAATGTGCCAGAAGTAGAAATACAAGGTGCTTGCGAAAAGTCCAAAGCGTGTAGTTGTGGAAAAAGGACACGATGGGACTGCTTCATTGCTAAGGTGAAATTATTTTTAATTTTTAAATCAAATTTTGCAGATCATATATGACAATATTCAATGACTTAAAATCAATTTTTCTATCTTGTTTTTATTTATAACATAAAATAAAAAACATCTTAAAACCTGTTTTTAAACTATGTAAAAAAACTTTTTCTTATAACTAACTTTAATACCTCCTATACCACACCAAAATGAAAGAAAATTAAATAAACAAAATAAACATGTTTAACCAATGGTAGGTGGAAAGTAATAAAGAGAAGATAAATCATTCGCTTACAAAATAATTATACATTCCATCTTATATTTTATCTAAAAGGATACATAAGATGTTATATTAATTTGTATTTATTTACTAAATATACTTTTTGAAAAAAGATTGCAGAGTTGTTTAATTTTGCCAATCACATAATTGTCTGATAAACTTATACATCGAGCTCAAAGCCTTGAATCAGAGAGGTGCTTGTGTTGTGTTGGATAATCAAAAGTAACAAAAAGTGCTATCTCTGAAATTTATGAAGTGTTTTATAGACAATTTGGTTTTGGATCGAGCGTGATTTAAGCAACTAAGCAGAAAAGTCATGACCGATTGTGTTGTTGTTACTTTAACTGAGGAATTGATAGTTTCTGCTAAATCTCTCTTGGAAGTCCTCTGCTTCATGCAACTTTGTTTCAGTACGATATATCTTCAAAAACTTCAGCTATTTTAAATTGCAATTTCTGTAGTTGTTTGTTCAGGACGAGTCTCTCAGACACAGAGGAAGTCAAAAAACAACTCCAACTTTTGAAAGATTTAGACCAAGAAAAGAAGATTAGCTGTTGACAAATTTTGCATCCCTTTTGTGTATGGAAATTTTAGGACAAATACAATATTGAATTATATTTAATGAAATGTATTTAAATGATAGAAAAATAACAACATTTCCATCAAATAAAAAAAAAATGTTACCTATCATATATAATGTCTGATTTCAATTTTCAACAACTGGAATGGGATTTATATTGAAATTAAGTTTTATGCTAAGAATTGTATAGTGAAAACTCTAGGCAAGGATGATTTTTTTTCTCTCTATCTGCTGTGTGTCATAGAAAAGCACACCACATTTATTGTGTTTGACTAAAAATAGAATATGGATAGAGATAAAATAAGAAAAATATTTTTACATTTGATTCATTTAAACTTTTTACATACTACTTTTATTTTTTTTTGGGTTAAATATGTTTTTAGTCCCTAAACTATTGACCGTTTCTGGTTTTCGTCCCTCTTCCAAAATAAGGTACAATTTAGTCCTCAATCTTTAAAAAACGTTCGTTTTAGTCGAAAAAACGAACGTTTTGAGGACTAAAACGAGGACTAAAAACAAAATTTTGAGGACTAAAACGAACGTTTTTCTAAAGAATGAGGACCAAATTGTACCTTACTTTGGAAGAGGGACGAAAACCAGAAATGACCAATAGTTTAGGGACTAAAAACATATTTAACCCTTTTTTTTTTTTAAATATAAAACCTTACATTTATTATCATTTTATTTTTATATTTTGTATTAAAATGAATGTAAAAGTCTCTCCTCGTATTATTTTTCATAAAATAATATTAGTATGAAACATATTCATAAAATAATCTTACTGAATTTTTGTAATTAAAAAAAAGCAAAAAATAAATAAGAAGAGTGTCAATAAAAAAAGAATTATGTATGTTAAAGTATTATTTTTCTTAAAATTATGAAATAAACAATAAAAAAAAAAATTAAATTTCATGCCAGAATACCATCTTATAAAACTTTGACTAAATACATGCATAATCGAGATCTTATTTACACAATCTTTTGAATAAGCAATTTTGAAAAAGAAAAATTAGTTTCTTAAAACTACAGTGTATTTATGCATAGATTAATTTGTAGAATTTGTTTTCTGACAAAGTAATTTTAGTTTATGAGAAAATTAAATTTATTTTTCATGTTTTCTTATAAAAGTTTGTGGAAAAGTTATTTTTTAAGCAGGTTGTGAAACAGATGGTTATTTGTTTGATCTATTCTCTGTATGAAAAATATTTATGAAGAAGTATAAATTTTTTAAGGGTGTGTTCTTTTAGGTGTATTTGAAAGAGATGATTTGAATGAATTTGAGTGGATTTGAGGGTAATTTTTTAATTGTCTTTTTGAGTGAATTTGTGGTTAATTGAGAGTGGATTTGGAAGTAAAGTTTGTGAGAATTAGTGTAGGATTTGATTGATGTGACTGATTAAAATAATTTGTTTAATTGATAAAAATTGAAGATTACCAAAATATCCCTAGTTATTAAATTAATATAAAATAATAATTGTTAATGTTATATTTAATTGTAAAAATGTTTATAGAGAGTAAAAAATTAATATTAATTATTAAAATTAATTTTAATATTATACAAAAATTGAATTTTATTAAAATGAATTTATTTTTAATTGTTATATTTATGTAATATTATTTACCCCATCATCAAATAAACATAAGATTAAAAAAACAGAAAAAAACTATCAATATAATTCCGAAAAGAAATATTAGAGCAACAAACTTTAGGATTTATTTTGGGTATTCTTCTACTCTTAATTTACTGAATAAAAAACACAAAAAGACATAATAAGAACTACTAAATAAAAATCAAGAAAGTAATGATGGAAAAAAGAGCTTGATGGAGTGGAGAGGGTGAAAGCAGCGTCCCCTATGAAGAATGAAAAAAAAAATTGAATAAGTGTGGTGTAACCGAATACATGGAGGTGTAACCGAATACATCCCTTCACTTCTCAAGGAATTCTTTTTGTACGTTTTATTTTTCGGTTGGTATTTTACAAACATACATGGAATTTTACTTCAAATCATCGCATTATGCAGAGATCATAGAAACCCATATATCTCGAAAATCATCTTAATTCCATCATTCCAAATCATGTCAAACGAAATCAGTTTTTATTGCAAATCATTCCTCCCATTTTTCACTTGAACAGTAACATCCACCCAAACGAACACAGCCTAAATGAGTATTAGTCTTTTGATGAAATAGTTATTTGCTTTTGATGATGCCTTGATTGTTCTAAAAAACATAGACGGGAGTTGTGGCTAGTAAAGAAATTAGTTAAGGTGCATGAAAAAGAAAAGGAATAAAAATGACTATCATGGTTTTTGTTTTCGATATAATTAAAAAATAAAAAATAAAAAATAAAAATAAAAAATAAAAATAAAAATATATTGTAATTCAGAAATGACATACCTGGTCTATCAATGCAATTTTGCCTCTTATTGGAACTTTAGCTGTGCTAATTATCTTTTTGTGTCTAGTTTAACTTTCCAGGAAACTGCAATTATTGGGTTGGACCAAGAATGTTTAAAAGAGGTGGAAACTTCTATCATTTCAAACAAAAAAAATGAGGGCATATATATATATATATATATATATATATATATAATATATATATATATATATATATATATAATATAATCTATTATATAATATATATATAAATAAATCATAAGTGATTGTACACCCTTCGTTAACATAATACACTACAAATTGCTTATATTTTTTAATAATACAAAACACTAACAATTATTGATCATTTTTAGGTAGCTATTATAACTATTTTATTTATTAAAAAATATAGAAGTTTCCTTTATCTACCAATATTTTAAAAAATAACTAGACACACAAATTATTAGACCACATGATTAATTGGGTATGTGATTGTTTACTTTGTTTCAAGATTAAAATATAAAGCTTAGGACTTGGTGATCACTGATCAATATTATTAATAAATAATAGTTTTTTAATATACATATCATATCATCTTACAATTTTATATTTTTATATTTTTTTTAAAATATATATTATTGTTTATCCTTTTAAATATAATTAATTTCACCATGAATAAAAATATAACAATTCACAACAATTTTTTACATTTTTTCACTTTTTATAATTTTAATATAAATTTTAACTATATTTTTTAATAATTATTATGATAAATATTTTTTTATTTTTATGGTAAAGCAAAAGGGGACAGGGGCATAGTTACCTATGTTTTTCCTGGTATTTAAGAAAACCAATGAACAAATTGATACATAATCTCTCACGTTGTTTTAAGTTCTAGGGCTTGCGCTGCCCCTAATGCTTCTGAAGAAAGGAACAAACCAATCTATAATCTCTTACTTCATTCTGCTATTGAAAAATAGAGACTAGGGTTTGCAGAAACCCTACGCAAAGAGCAAAAATCCTCTGCAGCGAACAGAAATCTACTCCTCTAACTCTAGAGCTCTTGCGTTAATCTTTGCAGCGACCAGAAATTCTTTCCTCCTAATCCTTGACATGATATCGATTTTCCGTTTCTCTCCGGCCGGAGGTCGCCAAAGTCCGGATGGTTCAGTTCGGAATACTCCAGTCCCGAGAGATCGTAATAAACCCTAAGCTACTATCTAATTCTTTCACTTTGTTTCGAAATTTCTCGAATGAATGTAAATGGATTCGAGTGTTTCTTTCCAGTTTTGTGGTTCTATGAAGTTGATGATTGGTTTATGTGTGTCTTTCAGAGACAAATGTCTGTGGTGCAAATTGAGCACGGTGAGACGACGGAGAGAGGGAAACCGAAGGTTGGAGGATTGAGTGACCCTCGACTTGGAACTATTGACAGAAAGCTCAAGTGCGAGACTTGCACGGCTAGTATGGCTGAATGTCCTGGCCACTTTGGACACTTGGAGCTTGCTAAGCCAATGTTTCACATTGGGTTTTTAAAGACAGTGTTGACTATAATGCGTTGTGTTTGCTTCAACTGCTCTAAAATTCTAGCTGACGAGGTATTTTTGCAAGTGGACTTTGCATAATATTGACTTAGTTATTTAGGTTATGGGAAATGAGAAAATAGAGGAATCTGAGTTCCATTGGTTGTGAATTGTGGTCAATTGGAGTTTTTGTCTGTTTAGTAGAAGGAGAGGGGAATTTGTTGTTCCAATTATTGTTTAATCTTCTATTTTGTTAGTGTAGTAGAATGAAATCAAATGTTTTTTATTTTTTTAAGTTGATTGCCTTTTATGCAGAATGATCACAAATTTAAGCTAGCTTTGAGGATCAGGAATCCCAAGAACAGGCTGAAAAAGATTCTGGATGCTTGCAAAAACAAAGGCAAGTGTGAAGGGGGAGATGAAATTGATATTCCTGGACAAGATACCGATGAACCAGTTAAAAAGAGTCGCGGTGGCTGTGGTGCTCAGCAACCAAAGATTACGATTGAGGGGATGAAAATGATTGCAGAGTACAAAGCTCAAAGGAAAAAAAGTGATGACCAAGAACAGCTTCCTGAACCTGTAGAGAGGAAACAGACCCTTTCTGCAGAAAGGGTAATTTTTCGTAATTCTGGATATTTAGCATGAGCACTTTTACGATCACTGTTGCAGGAATTGATGTAGTTGGTGACTTGTTATATCTGTTGAAGGTTCTTGGTGTTCTGAAAAGGATAAGCGACGAGGACTGTCAGTTGTTGGGCTTGAACCCTAAGTATGCCCGTCCTGACTGGATGATTTTACAAGTTCTTCCAATTCCTCCTCCACCTGTGAGACCTTCTGTGATGATGGACACATCCTCTAGGAGTGAGGCAAGTTTTTTATGTTTTCTTGGTTGTTGCAATTTTTGCAAGTGTATGTTGTTTAATTATAATTTTCTCTGGTTATTTTGACTGATATCGTTTGGGGTAAAACTTTTAATCCTTGTTACTTGCTGACTTTTTTTGGTCTTCCTTATTTGTAGGATGATTTAACTCATCAGCTGGCTATGATCATCAGGCACAATGAGAATCTTAAGAGACAGGAGAGGAACGGATCTCCTGCACATATTATTTCTGAGTTTGCTCAGTTATTGCAGTTCCACATTGCAACATATTTTGATAATGAGTTGCCTGGACTGCCAAGGGTATTATAGGAATTGAACATTTACTATGGATATATACTTCCTGTAATCTTCATCAGCTTTTTAATTTTTGGTGAAGTATTGATTAGTTGCTATTTATTTTTGCAGGCTACTCAAAGATCCGGAAGGCCTATCAAATCAATATGTAGCAGGCTCAAGGCAAAAGAAGGACGGATTAGAGGTAACTTGATGGGTAAAAGAGTTGATTTTTCAGCTCGAACAGTCATTACACCTGATCCAACAATCAACATTGATCAATTGGGAGTGCCGTGGAGTATTGCTTTGAATCTAACATACCCTGAGACCGTGACTCCATACAACATTGAAAGGTTGTGTTTTGGTATGCATTTCCTGTTGCAATTGGTGCATTCTCTTCCATTTTTAACAGAAAATATTTGAAATCAAAAAAATCAGGTTGAAGGAACTTGTTGAGTATGGACCCCATCCTCCACCTGGAAAAACTGGTGCCAAGTACATCATTCGAGATGATGGACAAAGGCTCGATCTCAGATATTTAAAGAAAAGTAGTGATCACCATTTGGAGCTTGGGTACAAGGTACTGCTTTTAAACAATGATGATATTGTTCATTTTGGTTTTCTCTCAGTGCCTTCTAATAGCTTTTGATGTTGTGGTTTTAGGTTGAGCGTCATTTGAATGATGGAGACTTTGTTCTCTTCAATGTCAGCCTATCTTC